ACACGGCTTTAAATTTCTTTGCTGCCAGAGTTTCCTCTGGTAGGTAACTGTAAGATATTCCGGCGGTGATCAAGGCTCCCACGCAAATCTCCGAAACGTGCATGTTCATTGTCCCATTGACTAATGAGGCTAACACATATGCGCTGAAGTGTGGTGAGATGTCGTTCACAAAACTTAAAAGAGATGATCAACATGATCTTCTGACCTTGCTTGACTTTAATTAAAGGTGATTTACCACGCGACCAACCCCAATAATAAATATCAAGCCCAATATTTGAGTATGCTAATTTAGAGCTACAGTTAGCCTTAACTATGTGTTTAATTATAAAGATATTAGATCTGTGGTCTACATAATTATTCGGAATTTTTCTCAAGATATTTCAGTAGCACTGAATTACTGCAAAATTTAAGCACAACAAAATCATAACCGCAATTATCAGTATAGTCTTACTCAAGCGCGGGTTTCGCCTTTCTCAAATGCAAATTGCAATGTCATTCACGAGATACGATTCCTGAATCGTGTTGTGATGGTTTGTTGTTTATTTTAGTTTGTTCATCTTCTACCTTTATTTTGCGGCTTCAATATTCCTGTTTAATAGTTAAAAATAGTTCAAAATGTCTATATGTTTGTTATTTCAGTTTGCTTCACCTAAACCACGGTTTATAGAAATGAGACGTAAACAGACATAATAATAATATTTATATAATGATTTCCATCACACCATTACTGGTACATAGGATATTTAATTACAGCAGTTATTGATACAGATTTATATATGTGCATTTTGTAAAGGCAGATTTACACTACACATAACTTTTGTCTAAAACTGTCGCATGCAACCTGCTTACAACTTGAGTTGTACTGTGTAAATCAACATACGACTCGCCTATACGTTGTCGTAGATGAGTTGTGTGCTTGATTTACACAGTACAACTCAAGTTGTAAAGGCCCTGTCACGCTAAATAGCGTATGAGAGAAACGTATGAGAAGCGTATGAAAATTAATGAAATAATTTTCATACGCACAAAAATCCTTTGAAATGCCAGCGTATGAGAACCGTACATCTGGCGTACCTCTAGCGCGTATTCAGCGTGTGCCTAAAGTATGCTTATCGTATAAAGCATACGTCCGATACGCACAAAATTTTTGAACATGCTTAAAAGTTTTCTGCCTCGCCGTCGGTATGCCAGCGTATGCCACCGTATGCGACCGTGCTTGAAACGTATGCAACCTATGCCTAACGTACCCCTAGCGTATAAGTCGGCGTATACCGGCGTATGAGTGATATTTTTCATACGCTAGTACGATACGCAATAGTGTGACAGGGCCTTAAGCAGGTTGTTTACAGTCACGCATTGTTACAGGGGGCATTTCAAGCTCTAAATTAACAAAATACAGGTTTAACAAAATACAGGTTTAACAAGTGTTCCAACTACGGACCACTACGCTTGGCACTCCGTATGCAAATCAATACGTAAATTTGCCGTAGCGTTATTGTGTGAACCCTCCCTGAAGGTCCAGACACACCAGACGCGATTCGACAACGCCATGCGATTTTTTAGTTTTTGAAAGTTAATAAAACAGTCAATGAGAGCAAATTTTGAAAGAAATGTAGACCAAATAACTCAAAATGTTATAGCGCTTCTAAATATTTGGAAAATTTAAACTAGGATCAAAGTTATCGGTCAGTGAAAATCGAAAAATCGCGTTGTCGAATCGCGTCCGGTGTCTTGACCTTTACTAATACTGTAATAGGCGGACCTGTGACGCTTACTAACAAACTAATCAGTTCGCAGATATGCATGACTACGTGCTAACAAAGCCTGATGATGATGAGACGCGCACCTGATCACTGCATCAACAATGGCGCAAATTCTAATGCTAATTAGCTATTTGCGGGCTCTATTTACGGTTTACACCCACATAATTAATTAAGGAAATTTACCCTTCGCCACAATTTTACCACAAGGCGTTTCGCATTTCTACACTTCCGTTTGTTAGATTTCTATGTACAAATACTACAATAACAAAACGCGAAAAGAGGAAGAGTTTTACTTTAAGCAACTTGAAGCTATAGCTTTCTTAGCAAGCAGGAAACTGAATCACACAAGACAAACATGAAATGCAGACTCATGCATGCAGTTGCAACGTCGTGGTCAATTCGAAATTGTTACATTTGTATCCTAAAGATGTTATAGATGCGAAACCAGGATTCATAATAAGAGTTTCAAACGTTCACTGGTTAAAAATTTGTATTTTAAATCGGAGAAAAAGGATTTAAAATGAGGCCTACAACCGTCTAGCGTTATAGATAGAGTAAGATAGTTGGTGTTAGAGAAATGTATACGCCTAATTCAAACATTACAGGAATGTTGCATAGCCACAGTATTTTAATCCATTGTTGGCCGAGATTTATAGAGATTTCGAGCACTGATAAAAGTGATAATCTCACATGTGAGACTGATTATTTATGATAATCTCACATGTGAAAATTATCGCTTTCAATTATCGCTTTTCTGTAAAAATTATCGCTTTCAAAGACTGTCCTTTATATAATAAACAGAAAAATACATGGATGTTCAACACTCGAAATAAATCTGGTATTTCCGCGCACCCATGTATTATTCTCTATTTAATCAACCTAAATATACATACCAGAAAAATACCAGAAAAATGACAAGAATACATTAATAAGAAACAAACTAATAGTGATAGACTACTTTAAATGAGTTTCAAAAATTGTTCGAACACCGTAACTATATTTTGCAACTAGAGTCATAATTGCTTTGCCCTCCATAGCCTAAGTAAGAATAATCTTGATTAAATGAAGAGAACGAAGCATTTATTTTACAAAGAGGATTTATAAAATTTACTCTAATATTTGCTTTGCATTGGTGCAGAACATTTAACAAATGTCGTACATGCATGACTCATGAGTACATATGAATAGAGCGTACATGAATACAACATACTGTTTCAACAATATACAACCCACAACATTGGGGGTGGGGGGCTCGCCAGTGTATAATTTTGCCAATCACTATCTATTGTCTCAATAATCAATCGTACATCATTTTCGGCATTTGCTCCATAAATTTAACTGTACATCAATTTACTCAGTAAACAAATCATTATACCATAAATTAATTGTATTGCTCAATTTCCTCAATTGCTTTATAAGCATCATAAGCTGCGTGAGCCTGATGGGCTGATGATCGCCAGCTGGGTTGAGCGTGAACTACTCGTGTACCCGCCTTCTTTTAACTTTGTACATATCTTATCTATTAGATATCAGCCACCTAGTATAAGTTGCAAGCAAAGGACCTTTGTCTGGAAGTGTGCTGTAGATACTAGTAAATACAAAGCACCTTTATATACTAGCGAACGCAAAGGCGATCGATATTATATTAACTATATAGTACAAATTATGTTATTCCCCACCCACGATGCTAATTTTCAGACGAGGGAGAGGCCTCGTTTCGCCAAAGTTCGCAATGTTAGGAAAAGCGCTCTGTGGAAATAGACCTTTATATTCCGCCAGCCGCAGGAGTAATCAGATTAGACGGATTAATATACCCAATTATACATCCAGCCCAATAAAATGAATTTCAACTTAATTTAAGTTCTACACATACGTGATGGTATGTTTCGAAAAATACCTAATATCCTTCTCCTGGCCTCAACTATGCAAGTAACGAAACGGTATAATAACCGCTACACTAATATTTGAGCCTAGAGCAATTAAATGTATAGTTTCTTTTAGAACAAGTCTCCGCAGAATGTCGACTACTTGAGCCCACACATAAATTATACAAACAAAGCGGTGGTAACTTATTAAACATCCGCCTCAAGGTTGAGAATGTTTTCGAAGGTGCTGGTGCCTCTGAGAATGTCTCGATGGGTTAATTAAACTCTGTAACTCTGTGTGGTTGACCACAGCCACTTCCCCGATGTATAAGTTTCATTTTAACTCCCGATGAGTAGCCTTATAAAAGCAGGCGATAGCTAACAAGCATGCACAATTGAACTAACTCGCTTACAGTAAAGTGACATAGAGATACGTGAAGTAACAATTTACCTTCGACTCGATCTTGAGAATCTTTGAAATCACTTCAAATCAAGAAATCTGTTTCAAAAATAGAGAATGGGTAAGTGGAAAATACAATTGTAACAATTTGATACCATTAATTACCAGCACTGGTAGGTTACAATAAGCGTTATATAGGGCAGCATGATGGTCAACTTCAGAGATGTCGACACTAGCTTATACACGAGCATGAAAATTCAACTACATCTCTCAATTCTATTTATTTGCCTCCAAATACAAGACTACTGCATATAATGAAAAGAATGAACATTATTTTCTCACTCTGATAAGTGCAGGTTGATCATCATCTGCTGCACGATATAGTGCTTAGTGAAACCCAACTATCCTATATCAGTAAAACTATCGTTAATCGTTATCGTAGGTTCATTTATTGCATGAAATAAAAACTTCCGCTAAATCATACTTCGTTTAAGACACGAATGAAGTAATGCCCTTGCTCTGCCTTACGTCACAAGATCAGAGAATCATTACGACCTGCGTAGGAGGTACGGCTAGCTTGGCGAATTTTTTCGCGTCAGCAGTCACGTGACTTTTACCGACGTGATAAGCGCTGCCGGAAAGTCGCTTCTGGCAAAGCAATTCGCCTATAGTAACAAACAGCCCTAACACTACTAACTAGGCTACTATGTGCCTCCGAAGGCTATCTCAGAATGAAGAAATATTTACAATGTGCTTATTTATTACGTATAGCATTGTAGTACATTTCTATGAAATAATACTATATGTACGTTATTTAACTACACATGCAGTTAACTCTCGCTGTGTTGAGGGCCAAAGCAAATATTTTCTTTATACAAAACTCCGTAATGAATTCTCTAATTACGTCTTTGAACTTTGATCTGTGCAGGAAGTACAAAACTCGTGAGTCATGGTAAACAAGAAAACGTCTATAACAGGCGTATAAAATACCTCAAAGTATGTGAACAAGACTCGGTTAGCACCTCGTTTTTAACACACTTTGGTCATTTATACGCCGATCATAAACGCTTTCTCGTTCTTCCAATATATCTGATTATATATTATGTGACATTTTAACGTTGAATGCATTTACTTTACGAATAAGGTGTTGAGAGGGTACAAACAGAATATTCATTGATACCGAGCTTTCTCATCTTTTAGATTTTGGCAGCATTGTGAACTTGAAATATATTGCTGGACAGTATTTCGTGATGGCTTTACTTTTGCAAGGTTTTGTGAACGGCCAGGAATACAGGCCAGGTGAACGTAAGTGCAGAGTTAACAATAAATAATACCAGACAGTTTACAAATTAACTTTACTGGATAACTCTATAGCAATTCTAAACTGCTGTTCCGCCTGGAGACCACCCGTAATGGTCCAGACATCATGCAGTGTTACTATACAGGGAGAAACCAGAACTAACTTTAACTTTATCCACACTGGATAGCTCCATCAGTTCTAAACTGTCTCCCTAGACGTCCAGTAAGCATCATCTCTTATTGATCCAGTGTTACTACAGGAGGAAACCTAAACTAACTTAACTTTATTCATACTGGATAGCTCTATCACTTCTAAACCATGGTAACAAATTTCTAAATTTTAATTTTAGACTCAGATGGTGGTTTGTATGAGGAAGTCGTGTCAATTTACAACGAACATTTTACAACGCCTGAGTCAAGAGAACCGTACCTTATCAAAGTACATCGCTGTATCATCGCTTGTCGGACTAAAACTTCCATTGCCATGCCCTATGCTTTAATACAGAAAGAAATAGAAATTGTAGTAGCAGATATCAACAATCCAACAAAGTTTTATAAATATGTCGTGTACAACCATACCAAATGTGGATGTGATAAACATAATGTCACAAAGAACGAGTTGCACAAGAATCTTGTTTCTAACGAAGGTAAGCGTTTCAATGAATGGACAGAAGAACGTGCCACACGGCTACAAGTTGTTGGATTAAATGTTGCTGCCACATGGAAAAATCTCACAACTTATCGACAAGATGTGTTTGCACTGTTTGTTTCCAGTTGTTGACAAATCTGGAAGAAGTTGTTATCAACTTGTAATAACAAGGTTGATAACGACAACAGATTCGCAACAAGTTGTTCCAACAAGTCTGATATTGTCGGCTTGCAAAAATATGTTAACACGTTAATGACAACAAGCTCGTAGTAAGTTGTAATAAGTTTGATACAGTCACCAACCTTGTAACAAGGTAATAACAAGTTGTTCCAGACTTATTACAACAACTGGGAACAAACAGTGCGAACACCTCCTGATATCGGCTTCACAACAACATTGTTACAACGTGTAATAAATAAAATATAATATATATTAACCTCGCAGAGAAGTGAACTATAAATCTTGTTCTATTTAGTGAACGAAACTGAATTCAAGGCAAAACTACCTAACAATCCTGAGAATCTGAGAAATTGCAGCCCATCATCATTCTGTAGCAAGCCTCAACCGCGCCATAAGCTTAATCCTATCCCTAGGAGACTGACTGCGATTGTCCCAGGACAGCGGTTTGTCCTCTATTATCGATGCTTGCCTGGTTGTGGTGCTACCACTAACAATACGAAGATGAAAACGGAGATGCTCTCGGGCTCTGACAAATACTATATATGGATAAAAACCGACACGCATTGTTGGACGTATCAAAAACAATCAAGAGTGGCGAGGTCCATCCTGGAGAGTCTTAACAACCTAAACACAACGTATCCGTCATCTTTAAAGACTAAACTGACGCAGGATTCAGGTAAACACCATGCTTTAGAATGTGAATACGCTCCTTTTCAATAAAATAATTTGTTTAGACATACACGAGTAAAAACGAACAACCTGCTCCCGGTTGATATCGACAGGCTTGAACAAAATTGCACGCTGCACCCTAAGAACAAGTTGTCCACAATATTGTTACAGCATTGTTACAACTGGCCAATGATGTAACAACATTGTTACAACTGACCAATGATGTAACAACATTGTTACAACTGACCAATGATGTAACAACATTGTTACAACTGACCAATGATGTAACAACATTGTTACAACTGGCCAATGATGTAACAACATTGTTACAACTGACCTATGATGTAACAACATTGTTACAACTGACCAATGATGTAACAACATTGTTACAACTGACCAATGATGTAACAACATTGTTACAACTGACCAATGATGTAACAACATTGCAACAACTGACCAATGATGTAACAACATTGCTACAACTGACCAATGATGTAACAACATTGTTGACAATTCTGTGGGTGCAGCAACTGGATATCAACTGGAAACAGGTTGTTGGTTTAGAACTGATAGAACTATCCAGCATAAATAAAGTTAGTTTAGATTAGTTTTCATACTGTATCATTCCTGATATTAATGCATGCTTAGCAACCATAACCCAACATTACTTTTCCAATTCCATTTCATTTCAGAGACAGAAAGCGGTGTATTGATTTATATTGCTTCACCAAAAGTATTCCTGGCTGCGTTTGTTCTATCTGTGATACTGGTGTCGATATTAATTGTGGATTTCAACCTCTGCCACCGCAAGAAAGGAATAATGTATTCAGTACTGAGCTGTAGAAAGGACATGAAAGATAACGCATGCTCTGATTGTGCTGAACGACAGAAGAAAGTCATTGAAATCGTTTAAAATGAAGGATGGTTAAAAGCATGGGAACAAATCTACTCGTAACATGGGTCCCCCAAAACGCAATCACGCCTTTTCATGGTGGGATAATGGTTAGTCCCTCATGGTGGGACACCCCTCGGGAAATGTTGTGTCCCAAAGGGAATGTGAAGTGAGTGAAAGAAACAGAACGGAAAAGGTACTGAAGCCCCCTCTGAAGTTCTCATGTTGCCCCCCCCCCCCTCCACCTGGTCAGTGGGTGTGACCCCTCACCATCCCACAGAAAACCAGACCCCTAGGAAGAGTAAGGAAAAGAATGTATGGAGAGTGAGTGTGTGAATGCTGCTCCTTATCCCTCACTTTTGAAAGTGTCAGGCCGCCCAAGAATTTTACACCAAGGGAAAGTTTTGAGAATGTTGTATCTTGGTATACACATAGTCATACATTGGTCAGCTTCCCTCCCTTTAGACAGGAAAATTATAAGCTGCGAGTAAAGTAAAGGAAGGAAAGGCATATTGGGATTTCTCGAGAGACCTCAGTTGACAAATTATGCCCTGACAATCGAAAAGAGACGGAAAGAAAGCAGCAAAAGATTGATTGAATGTTGTGTCAATCTAGACAATATTGTTTTGCTTATTAAAATAACTAATGGTATTAAACTCAATTTAAATTTTGCAAAAAGTAATTTTAGGTTTAGAATGTACTAAAGGCCATATCATACACGAGACAAATTTTGCTGCAACTTGCAACCCAATTTCGAACATATGAAAAATGAGAAAATGAAAGAAATGGGATGAAAAATGCCACTGGGTTAACTTTGAGCCATGCTCACAATTTCCCTCAGACTCCGTTTTAGATAACATCAGTCTATGTCAGAAATTGCGTAGAAAGTAGCAGCAAAAATTGCCTGGTGTAATATGTCATAACCTTATAAGACAATTAGTACAGATCTTATTATAGTTAATGTGGCTATTTCAACAATACCAAGCTATTTGTAAATTAATGAGAGCAATTTGATGTTATAATTCGTATATTATGTTATGATAATTGTCTTATTGTACCAAATTATGCTGTTGCGTTGTGAAGTTGCCAAAAATAAGATATACTTTCAATAAATTTTCAATAATTTTATACAAGGTGTTTTCTTTTTTGTGTTAAGTTTCCCAATTTCGAAGTGAAAACTGCTGAATTAAAATTGCTGGATTAGAGTTAGGATTGATGGCAGTGGGTCACTTGACCATGGTTGCTTACTGCTTCGTGACACTCATCGAACCTTTATTTTGTTAATCTAGGGGGTTGAAATGTCCCCCTTAATAATATCTTTAGGGTAGCCCTGGCGCGCATGTAAACGCAACGCGCAAACACAATCCAGGTGATCTCGTGTTCGTATTTTAGCCAATCAGCGCTCAGAAAGGGTTGTCCGAATAGAAATCCATTTTGATGTATTCAGTCAATTATATCTTTCGTTATTCTTTATGAAACTAGTTGAAATTTTGTAATTATGTTTGCTTATGAGAACTATAGCTCTGACAAAAATACGGAATCGAAATACAGTAAATAACAGGAGATATTCAGTTGTTTTAATCATAAAATGGATTTCTATTTGACAACTAGTGCCAGTACTTTACCGCGTATCAAGATCATCTGGATAGAATGGGCTAATCCGCTTACTAGGGTAACTCTTCCGCCAGGGTTACCATACTTCCATGCAAACAGGCCCAATAGTATCAGATATCAAGGTTAGAATTGTATTTAAATGGGAGTTGTTAACATAGAAATGGACTAAGAACTGACTAAGAACTGCGCTATTAATATCAATGCTTTCCACCGATGTTTCTCGATCTTTCGCGCAAAATGTTACGGCACTTAACCGCACCTCCAAATTATTCAAGTGGCTACTTCCGAAACATGTTATAATAAGAAACTGTTTGAAGTGGCTAAGGACAAACGGAAATTTTGACAGATTGATAAACGGAATAATTTAGCGCTAATTTGTTAGCATTCAATCGTGTTAACCCTGAACATTTTTGTTTGTTTGGGTCATAAAAATGGTTTAGTCTTTGTTGGACTCAAGCTCACAGTTATCTTTAGGAGGTCCGGCTGGTTTGATCGTAGATGTGTTTTGCTACTGTGGTACCGCCTGATAGTATGCCTAATTAAGTGTGGTATTAATGGACTTATACTTTCAACTAATTAGTAAACATCCCTTTTTAGCAGTTCGTCTTTCTTCATTTCATCAGCTAAAACATCTGAGTCTTCGATAGCGTCCAAACCGCCTAATGAACTGGCGAATTTGGATATTAGTACATTCTTTTTCTTTCGTATTCGGTATATACATCTTGTTGATGGCCTTCTCGCCAGCCTTTTTTATGTATGCCACGTTTTGTTTAGATCACCATCCTCTGCCTGTTTTAGGAGTTCGTCTCTTCTTTTTGTGACTTCATCAGCTTGACAGTGTAGTGGATGGATTACCATGTTGTGGATCACCTTCGTTTAGCACTCCACTGATCTCATCTTTTAGGGTTTCGTTTGCGGTTTCAATATGATTAACGAGATCATCGATGGTTTCATCCTTGACACTCTTGTTGTTAATAATAATATAAATAATAATACAATCTTTATCCAGGATGCTCCATTAGGCAAAAGCGTGGTTTTCATGGAGGTCCTCGTAAAATATCTCTACAGTCAGTAAAGGCTGATTTGCATACAGCACACAAAAGACAAGATAGATCGAGACTATTTCACATGTAATGTAATATAGTGTCGATATATCTCTGCAGTCAGTAAAGACTGATTTACATACAGCACACAAAAGACAAGATAGATCCAGACTATTTCACATGTGATGTAATAGAATGTTGATATATCTCTACAGTCAGTAAAGATGATTTGCATACAGCACACAAAAGAGAAGATAGATCCAGACTATTTCACATGTAATGTAATAGAGTGTTGATATACCTCTACAGTCAGTAAAGACTGATTTACATACAGCACACAAAAAACAAGATAGATCCAGACTATTTCACATGTGATGTAATAGAGTGTTGATATATCTCTACAGTCAGTAAAGACTGATTTACATACAGCACACAAAAGACAAGATAGATAGATTCTCCCGCCCGCACTAAACTCCTGCTACGCAGGCTACACCGGACGCAATTCGACAACGCGACGCGATTTTTCCATTTTCACAGACTGATTCTAGTTTAAATTTTCCATATATTTAGAAGCGGTAGAACATTCTGAGTTATTTGGTCTACATATCTTTCAAAATTTGCTCTTATTTGCTGTTTTATCAACTTTCAAAAACTAAAAAATCGCGTCGGGTTGTCGAATCGCGTCCGGTGTGTCAGTCTGGACCTTCATAGAAGGAAGTACAATATTTCAATAGTATACTTGAGTATATGCGGATACAAGTTCAAATTAAAATTTCTTTCAAAGTGATTTCTCTAAAGGAATTACCGACGCACACTTCTTGAGAACAACGTTCCACTAACAATATTAATCATTAACTCCTGTTTCAAGAACTTCTTGCTCAATAATAAATTACCAGGTGAATGTAACAGGCGGAATGAACAGGTGTTATGGTTGGATTTAGGATTGGGGTTTGCAGTTGAAGAAATTAGTTGTCGAGAATTTCGATGTCTCGATATTTTTATTCGCATGCCATTCCGCCTTTTGCATTCACCACAGGAATTAAACTTGAGGGGGGTCATCATCTACCTATACTATCCAGGCTCGTGGTTCGTTGATTATAACAATGAAAGACAATAAAACTATAGAAATCTCGATAGAAATCGTCTTTCTAAAGCACGAGTCACAACGATCATTTTTGTTTCTGAAAGCCAATCACAAAACATGATAATTTTAAGGCAGGTATTTACCCCCTGAGGGTCCTGTGACTCCGATGCAGCGCTCTAACCAACTATATAAGCCACAAATTCCAGCTTTAACCACAATTTGTGTATATATAATATCAAAATACATGCTCAAACAGCGGAAATCACGTTCAGATTGAAAACATTTTTCAAGTGTTTTGTCTGAAAGAAATCGACCCACCCTTCTTAAAAGAAAGTTCTTGTCCGAAGCACTTACTGCAAATGAAGAATATAATTAGCTAATATCGGATATCGTATTTCCTGCCCTGAAGTTTATTTCCGTTCTTTTAATCATACAATTTGCCATATATTTATCCATATCAGATTTTTTGTTAAGAAACCCAAAATAATGCTGTTAAAATATTGTCAATTTAAATACAATTATCATTGATGAATGATGTTGATTTGGTAGAAGTTTACATGGAGATATCAGGGTTCGTACATGTGAGGAAGAGTGAAATTCAAGAACTTTTCAAGGACATTCAAGGCCATGTATCAGCAAATTCAAGGACTAAATACTGACAAAAAAGGGGTTAGATATCAGTAAAATCTGACGTTGAATTGTTCAAAACGCAACTTTAATGAGTTTCAAACAGCTTTGTCAGATATGAACATGCAAAATCAATTACTCTCGATTTCAATTTGCTTTTCAAAACTGACTTCCAATGTTTACTTGTAAATTCGGAATGTTCGTTGTAAAGTTCCCAAGTTTGTTTCGAAGTTCGTTACGATGATTTACGATGATTCAATAGCAAGCGATTTGATTGGCTGGTTCACTTAACTATAGCCAATTACAACTTACTAAACTTGATTATCGTAAATCATCGGAACGAACTTCGAAACAAACTTCGGAACTTTACAACGAACATTCCGAATTTACAAGTAAACATTGCAAGTCAGTTTTGAAAAGCAAATTGAAATCGAGAGTAAACAAAATGTCCGTTTTGAATGTCAAGCAATTTTGGAAAATATCCAAAAACTAAAGCAAGAAAAATTCAAGGACATTCAAGGTCTTGAATTTTTGTTTTCAAATTCAAGGACATTCAAGACTTTCAGGTTTTGTAGGAACCCTGTAATATATATTATAGCGACGTTTTTGTCGTCAGATTGCCGAGGGGGAACTGGGTCAAAAATTGTGCTTGTATCAGTCTGTGATGATCGTCAGCCGATAATCGTCTGTATATAGCAATCAAGTCATATGATAAAACATAAGATTTTTTGAAGTTTTTTACCGTCCTTATACACAAGCGATTTTATGCAAAATGCCACCAAAATTAGTTACACCAATTTTCTCGGGTGACATCCGTGTTGATACAAACGTGGCTCAGTGCTTATTAAGCTCGCTAATGCCCATTGAAATTCGTCAAACCATGCCATGTACATGAAGACTCCTTTATACCGAGATAAAGACCGCTGTGTATTATCAATTTATGCATAATTATATAGATCGTATGTGGCAGTCATGTATGAAGTAAAATTTCTTGCTAAAACTATACTACTTTTAAAATTACAGCTTGGAAGAAGCTGTTAACAACTTGTAACAACCTTATTGATATTATCAGACTTGTTGCAAGGTTGTGCCAACAAGTCCGATACAGTCATGATATAACAATATTGTTACAACCTTGTGTCATCAACCTTACGTAACATTCTTGTTATATCATTACTGTACTGATCAGACTTGTTAGAACAACCTTGTAACAAGTCTGATAATGCCATCAAGCTTGTTACAAGTTGTTAATTAACAGCTTGCTCCAAACTTGTTACAACAACTGAGGCCAGTTGTTCAAAGTTAGATTATAGCTTAACAACTTGTTTATAAATTTTCCCAACAACTTGTTTATAAATTTGGAAATATTTCTTCAGAAATCTTGTTTGAATCAGTCGTAGCTTTCTTCTCTGACGTTTTGAAATAAACAGACGTGCAGAAATACATAAACTAAAACAAGCAGGTTAAATTTTAAGCGAGGGTTAGCGCTAATCCAGCTTTGAACAACCAGCCCCTGGAAACAAGCTAGCAGTGCGAACACAACTTGTCGACAGCTTGTGAACAGATTTGTATAACAATTTGTTTGCAGACCTGAAACAACTTGTGCGTTTTTACGTGTGTAGTTTAATTTTCAGCATTCAATATTCCATGTATTCAATATTCACACTCGAGCTTTGTTTTCAAATATTTGTCAACTGTCTGTAAAAATTGCGGGGGAGTC